CGCCTGGGTGGATGGTTGGGGGTCTCAGGCCGGGGCTCCTGTCTTTGCCCGGCTCTGGATTCTTCTACTACCTTGCAAAACTAGAAGTGGCGGGGGGGATGTGGTAGAAAGAAGCAACTGGTGTCTCTCTCCGCTCCCCTTCCCGGGCGCCGCATCGCCGAGACGGGGAGAGGGTCCCCCGACGGGGAGAGGGTCCCAAGGGATGCCCTGCGTCTTTGCCCCCCCCATCTCTTCTGCTACAATGGCAGCGGGGGGGGCGCCAGATTCCCTTCCCCATCCCCTCCGATCCAGCTCGCAGCGCGCCCCCAACTCCACCCGCCCCGACGCCCCAAGAAGGAAGGCTGCTCCCCCACGCTCCTTCCTTCCTGCGCCCCCAACTCCGCGGGCCGCCTTCCTCCCCGCCCTCCAGGATCTCGACGGTGGGGGTGGGGGGGAGGGGACCCCGTTGTCACCCTGCCATTCCAGCCCCCCCCCTCCCAGCCCCTTCCCAGGGTCCCCTTTCCCGCGCGCCCCGGCTTGGAGAGGTTCCAAGGGCGCGCGGTGCGCCCTAGGCGCGGCTGGCGTCTCCAAGGTCCCCTTGCGCTCCAGCGGGGGAGACCCTCCCGGGGAGGGGGGATCGCCGCCGCCGCCGCCGCCCCGCGATCTTGGGGTACCGTTGGTAAGGGGCAGCTCCACCGTCTCCTCCTCGGTGCCGTCCCCCATGGCCGAGCCGTCGCCCTCCTCTTCCTCCTCCTCCTCCTTCCTTCCTTCCTTCCTCGCCTGTCTAGCGCTGCCTCCGCTCGCCTTACATGCTGCGGGCCGCACACGCTTCCTGGTGCAGCGAGCGAGCGAGCGCCCGCCGCTGCCGCCGCCGCCGCCGCCGCCTTCTCCTCTTCCAGGCCTGAGTCAAGCGGCAGGAATGCGGGAGCCCGGCGAGAGGAGGAGAGGAAGCGCCGGCAAAATCCGGGGAGCCGCCCCGGGGAGGGCTACGGGACCCCCTTGCTGCCACCCAGCCCACCCACCCATCCACTCCCCGAAAGTTGCCTGCAGTTGTCACCCGCTGGGCAGGCGACTCCTGGAAGCCCTCCCCCTTCGCCAACGCCGAAGATTGGGGGGGGCAACCGGGGAGCCGGGCTTCCTTCCCCCCTCCCTCCCTCGGTGTGTGTGGGGCCAGTTTTGGGGCGCCAATGGTTCGTTTGACCCCCCTGGAGACCGCGCGAAGAAACAGAACCCCAAGATTTCTGTTCCTTTGGAAGGACACAGGGCATAGAGAATAATAAAGAGGTGGAAGGGACCTCGGAGGTCTTCTAGTCCAACCCCCTGCTCAGGCAGGAGAGACCTAGACCATTTCAGACAAATGGCTGCCCAGTCTCTCTCTCTCTCTCTCTCTCTTTTTTTTTTTTGAAAGCCTTCCGTCATGGAGCACCCACCATTTCTGAAGGCAAGCAAGTGCTCAGAGAAGGTTGGGGGGAGGGTCCGGATTTGGGGAGGGGGCTACTCCCAGAATCCCCTTCCTTTTTCCGTTCAAAGTGGGAATGCAAAATAATGCTTAAATCTCCAACGCCCCTAAGCCTTCCCGCCCTCCCATACCCACCGCTAAAAAAATCTGCTTTATGCAGTATTCAGGAAAAAAAAAAAGGCCAGATACCTTAGCTACAATCCAGTGAAACTGGCAGGCCAGAGAAAGCTAGAGGGGAGGGGGTGTCATGGGGGAAGAAGCCAGGAGCTCAAATGAAATTAAATCGATCATTAGAACGATCCTGAAGTTCCAATGGATTTCCATAGATGGATTATCCATTTGCAGGAGACTTGCAGAAAGCTTCATAGGTGAAGGGGTGGTTCTGTTCTCCATCCAGAACTTGCAAGTGGCCACTATGATAAATAATTATTACTGTACCGATAAAAGCAGAATATTTGCAGCCCAGGGTTAAAATCGGGGGTCCTTGGTGCTCTCTGAGCTGGGTGGTTTTCTTGCAGACGTTTCGTGACCCAACTAGGTAACATCATCAGTGCTAGAAGAGAGTGGGATTTGTAGACAGGAGGAGGAGGAGAAAGAGCAGGAGGGGGACGGTGGGATCCTTGGTGCTCTCTGTTCTTGCAGACGTCTCATGAGCCAACTAGATAACATCATCAGTGTTAGTTGGGTTTGCTGCAAATGTTGTAGCACTGATGACGTTACCTAGTTGGGTAAAGAAACATCCAAGAAAACAACTGCGTTCCAGTCCCGCCTTTGTCATGAAAGCCAGCTGGGTGACTTCGGGCCAATCACCAGGTGACTCTGAGTTCTAGTCCTGCCTTAGACACAAAAGCCAGCTGGGTGATTTTGGGCCAATTAGCAGGAGATTGTGAGTTCTAGTCCTGCCTTAGGCAGGCAGGCAGGCAGGCAGGCAAGAAGGAAGGAAGGAAGGAAGGAAGGAAGGAAGGAAGGAAGGAAGGAAGGAAGGAAGGAAGGAAGGAAGGAAAAAAAGAATAACAGAATAACAAAGTGGGATGGGACCTTGGAGGTCTTCTAGTCTAACCCCCTGCTCGAGGCAGGAGTTCTTATACCATTCCAGACAAATGGCTGTCCAGTCTCTTCTTGGAAGCTTCCAGTAATGGAGCACCACCATCAACCATGGCCAAAAAAAAAAAAAAAAAGGCCACAAAATCGGGCACAACAACCGTCTCACTTAGCAACGGAAATTCTTGTCTCCATTGTGGTCACAAATCAAGGGCTACCTTGCCTTCGCACGTCCATTGTGTCTTATTACTGTAACATTTTATTTATTCATTTTTACATATTAAATTCATTCGCTCCCCCCCCCCTCCATCTTGCCATAGGAGAGAGTTGCACTGACCAGCAAAAAAAAAACAACAACAAACAGGTGGTGGATCTCTGGACTTTGAAACTCCCTGCCACAAGAAGGGAAACCCAATTAGCTAAAAAATAATAATAATAAGTCTCAGAAGGGGGTTGAAAGTCCACCGGGGTTTGCTTGGTTGGTTGTGAGTTGTAAAAAAAGGATAATAATAATAATAGTAAAGTTGGAAGGGACCTTGGAGGTCATCTAGTCCAACCCCCTGCTCAGGCAGGAAACCCTATACCATTTTGGATCAAGTAGATTCCAGTGACTCTTGGTCTGGCACCAGCCCAGACCGGAAGAAGGTCTTGTTGTCGTTTTCGCGCAGGGTTTTCCCATATCTTCCAGGAAATGAGGCTTTCCTTGGGGACTTGTGCATCTTTCCAAGCCAGCTTGTGGGTTTTTGTTGTGGGTTTGCGTTCGTTGTTCGGAGGTTGGAACACAAGGGGGACCGTCTTTTCTGACCATTTGCCCTCCAGAAACATCACAAGAGACATTTTGAAGTTTGATCCTCCTCGCCCGGCGGCCGTCCTAAAAAAAAGGCACACCCACACGCGATTCAGAATTAACAGAATAACAAGAGCTGGAAGGGACCCTGGAGGTCTTCTAGTCCAACCCCCTGCCCAGGCAGGAAACCCTCTATTATTGATGTAAACTAACCAAGGAGAGAAGCAACCTGGAATTAAGGAGAATCTTCCTAACAGGGAGAACATTCCAAATTACAACGGCACTGAAGAAAGTGAATTATGGCCGTTTTTCACACTTATGACCGTTGCAGCATTTCCCCGTGGTCACGTGATTTACATTCGGATACTTGGCCCCTGTCTCCTATTTACGACGGTCGCAGCGTCCCGGGATCACGTGATCCCCTGTTGCGACCTGACCAGTAAAGTCAGTGGCGGAAGTCAGATTCACTTAACCACTGTGTTACTAATTTAACAGCTGCAGCGATCCACTTAACAAGCGCGGCACGGAAGGTCGTAAAGTGAAACAAAATTCACTGGACATAAATTTTGCGCTCAATTGTGGTCGTAAATGGAGGACTGCCTGTATCTTAATTCTCATCACCACCCAGGCTCAATCAATCAATCAATCAAGCCTCACCTCTCTTCTCCTCGCTGGTTGTGGACAATTGGCTTGGGGGTTCCGACTCTCCTGCAGGAGCC